TCAAATGCTATTTCAGAGTTCAGAAATTGCCCTGATAAAACAGACAGTGTTCAGTCCTGCTCAGAGCCCAGCACAGAAGCCACACAGGAGGGTGCAAGAACCTAAGCAACTCTTCCTTGGAATCAATTTTGGTAACTACCAGCTATTGGAAAAAAGCAAAACAAAGGCAGATCGAAACAATTCAACATCCTGCCTGTGGCCCAGAGGTCTGGATCACCCACTACGGCCCAGGGGCCGTGGGTCCGGCCAGCCCCACGCAGCGTGAGCCAATTTGGTGCTGGCGTTTTGGTGGCTCTCCCCGCGCAAGGACTCACTGTGCTGCCGACCACATCAGTGCTTTCCTGCCGTGGCTGCTGCTGCTGCCTGCGTCTGTGTGAACGGATTTTACGGTATGATCTGGATGATGTGTAACATCTTAAAGCAAATTTGGAGTAAAGCACAAACAGTGTTTTTTAAAGAATACTGTATTTTTTTTTTTTTCTCTCCAGAACAGCAGCTCAGCCGAAAAAATTAGTACTGAAGAGAATGAAAAAGAATCCACAGTGATGGTGCTGTAGTTGTGATTGTCTAAGCTATAACCAAGAATGGTCTGTTGGACTATTAGAAGATACTACCTTTTGCTACAGATCTTGTTCTTTTTGAAAATACTGTTGCTTTATAGTTGTGCTTGGTTTCTTTACAATAAAATTACATGGGAAATGGTATACGGGTTAATCAGATGGCATTTCAATTGAATTTTAATGTCATGTGAATTGTTCTAATATTTTCATCATTGCAACAAGGTTTCCAAGACTTTAAGACCATCCAATGAGACTTCAATCTCAGTTCTTCTGTTCTGTATGATGCAATTATAAATTAACCAGAGTATCAGCTGTTACCTGTTTTTCTCCTTTAAAAACAAACATAGGCCTAAATTACATTTTTGTGAACTCAGAAATTACTTTTGGAAACCAAAGCAATATTGTAGAAAAGCCGATTTCTGAGCTTCACCCATTTCAGAGAAGCAGCAGCGTAATATTATTTAGACAATGTCCTAGACTCCTACGTAGGCCAACTGGGAAGCTTGACCAGTAAGAAATCAAACTGAGTAAAAGGACTGCTCACTGCAGCAACTCTGCCTTATGGGGCATTCATGGCACTGGTCTCAAATTGAAGTATCAGTAAATGAGACTATAGAAAAAATTGGCAGAGAGATGAGCAATATATAGTAAGTAACAGTAATACACAGTCAATACATCATATGTCATAGGTGAATGACTACAAACTGTCATCTATAATCTCTTGCGTAAACTGTCTCAATGCCAGAGGACTAGAAAGGACACCAATTTCTAACGAGGTTTCGTAACAGATATGGGCAGCTACAGATCAGGTTGCACAAAGTTATTCAGTGACCAAAGACTCTTAAGCAAAAAAACCCGTGGCTTTGAATAAAATAGGAAGGGCCTCACATGAGAAAATAAGGGGTTAAAAACCAGGATCTTGGTGTTCCAAACCATCAGACAATCACCAAGTACAAAAGACACCCAGGGACCACAAACTGCTGGAGGCTGGGAGAGCAGTTCTGGGGAGGCAGGACTAAACGTTCACTCTGTGCCTATACGCTGCCCCAAGCAGCTGCTGTTTGCCATTGCGAGGAATGTGATGCTGGGACAGATGGACCTTTGGTCTCAAATTGTAGACTTGCTTTTACGTTAACTGGGAACTGAAAGTTGTATCTCCCCTGAGAGAAGAAAGATTAAGTCAAGTCATGACAGTGGAACAACAGGGCCAAAGTCAGAGGTCTGATTGTGCCAAAAAGTCCCTCTCTGAGCCAGAGTGGGGAAACCATACCTGTTACCGTGCTTTAACCCCAGCTGGCAACCAAGCACCACACAGACACTTGCACACTTGCTCCCAGTGGCATGGGGGAGAGAATCGGAAGAATAAAAGCAAGAGAACTCATGCGCTGAGATAAAGACAGTTTAAGAGGTAAAGCAAAGCTGCACATACAAGCAAAGCAGAACAAGGAATTCATTCAGCGCTTCCCACCAGCAGGCAGGTGCTCAGCCATCCCCAGGAAAGCAGGGCTCCATCACACGTAACGGTGACTTGGGAAGACAAACACCATCGCTCTGAATGTCCCCCCCTTCTTCCTCCTTCCCCCAGATTTCTGTGCTGAGTATGACATCATATGGTATGGAATATCCCTTTGGTCAGTTGGGGTCAGCTGTACCAGCCGTGTCCCCTCCCAACTTCTTGTGCACCCCCAGCCTCCTCACTGGTGGGGTGGGAGGCACAAAAGTCCTTGACTCTGTGTCAGCCCTGCTCAGCAGTAACAAAAACATCCCTGTGTTATCAATGCTGTTTCCAGCCCAAATCCAAAACATGGCCCCATACTAGCTCCTAAGAAGAAAATGAGCTCTACCCCAAACAAAACCAGCACACTGGTGATGAACAAGAAAGGACCGGGGCTGAGGCAGTTGGTGCCTCTTGCTTCTCAAAGCCCCATTGACCCAATGCAGAAGAGTGTGTTTCCAACATGGAGGCAGGAGGGTGGGCTGGTGGCTCAGAGCTGTGCACCACATATGTGAGCAGAGTGGTCAGCCGCCACCACGGGGGTAGGAACACAGGCGCAAAGCAAGCAGTAGCAAGATGGGAGAAGCGCCTGTTGGCCCGGAGAGACAGACTGCATCACCCTCTACGCTGAACATCACACCCGGGCCCTGCAGATGGGCCCGTCCACCTCTTTGTGCCCATCACAGAAAGGTATCACTGTCACCGAGGACAAGGGACCGGTGAGGTTTTGGGAAGGATTTCACTCTGCAGTGAGGCAAGGCTGCAGGGCGGGATTGCAGAATCACAGAATCCTTTAGGTTGGAAAAGACCTTTAAGATCATCAAGTCCAAACGTTAGCCTAATCCTGCCATTGCAAAGCCATTGCCCCCCTGTTGGTGGGGCCAGTGGGCGCTGCCTGCTGCCGGGTGCCCCCATGCCGCAGCCCCACTCTGCCCTGGTGCCCTGCTGGCTGCAGGAGGGGAGCTGCCAGCCAGCAGAGGAAAGCAGAAGTGTGACCGTTCTCTGTCCCTGTGGCTAAAAAACTGAGACTCAGCAGAACTAGCCCCCCTTCTGGGGTGCCCAGCCTGAGGGGAGGAAAAAAAAAAGTGCAGGGGAAGGCCATAAGTACAGAGAGCATAGCAGCACGTAGCCCTGCTTTGTGGCTATCAAACTACTGAAGTTATCAGAACACGAGTTTTCACCATATAATACTTTTTTCTTTTTAACTCTACAGCCCTTGCTTTGCAATGACGTATGTGCTTTCATCTCCCCCCGCCCACATTTCCAATTTGTTTTCCTTCTCTGTTTAAAAGCAGAGAGATATTTCCTTCAGCTTATCCTCTCCCTCATTTCCCGCTTCTCCTTGGCACTTTTAGCGCTCGCCTTGGTCGTTTGCCGATCTTCCAAAACATTTAACTCTAAATCATGTTTCCTTAAAAGGCAAATGCAGCAACCATGAAGACAGGAACGACACCTCTTCCCTACAGCACTTTTCCCGTTTGTAAAAAGAGGAAACTCTTTTACACAAACTTTTTTTTTTCTTAGACAACCTTATTGTCACGAAACACTTTTCCTTGCAGAAGCACAAATGTCTGGTAGGATAATTAAGTGACCTGTAAAGAAAAAAAGACCTACTGATGTTAATGACTGGTTACAGTATTTAAGCAATGGATACAAAAGTTTTCTATTTGGTCCCGAAGTGAACAACAAAAACCCCCAGCAGAGCTGCTCTCAGTTCATTTCTTTAGATGCTAAGACCAGGAAAGGCAAGATGCTTCTGGCTGTGATCTTTGCTGCAAAAAGCACTCTCAGCCACTGTTTATTACTGTTTCGGGACAAAGAAATTTCTGTTCGTGTTTTTTGTAATCAATGCTGATCTTGCCAAGGCTGTAAGAGCTGAGAATATATTGACTTCCCCTGATTTTATGCAGAAACTGCAGCAAAGGAAAAAGAAATAAAAAGCTACAAACCTCACAAAATCAAACTCAGCATGATATCTGCATTTTTCCTGGGCTTGGTTCCCACA